CTCCTGGGCTCCGAACCAGGGCCACCACCTCGCCGGTGCTGCGGAGACAGCAGCAGAAGACACAGTGACCAGCCTGATCCTCCCTTCCCCCACCTCCCGGTGCAGCATCCGTCAGTCCGCATGACCCTCCCCCTACCAAAACTGCCTGCTTTCCTCCTTCTTCTCTCCCCCCTCCCTTTTTTTGGCTGAGCGATGAGCTGTATGCCAAATCCATCTGCTCCTGTCTCCCCTAGCTGCCTTCCATATCATTACAGGATCCCTGGCAGCCAGCCTAGACCCATCTCTCTCCCTCCACTCTTAGGAGCACATTCCTTTCTACACCTTTTCCCGAGCTGGGATAGAAATGAGTATCAACCCCAAACAAAAAGCATCTGCTTTCTGCCTGCTTCTGCTTCACCGGCCGCGCATGTACGCTACACCCGTGTCAGCAGCGAATGCAAAACACACACAACCCCCCACCTCGCATCCAACATGGGCTGACGAAAGTTTGGGCGCCGGGAGCCTGCCTCACACCCTCTCCCTCTCCGTCTCCGCAGCACCAGCTGTGACCACCGCACCATTTGTTCCTCCAGCCCACGCCAGCACTCGGAGCCAGTTCTTTATCACCCCAATTAGCCTTGTCTGTGCTGATGAGAGGAGAGAGGCTTCCACTGCACGGCAGAGATGGGGGGAAGAGAGCTGGCGCGCGGTGGGCACCGCGAGAGGCGATTCCCTTCGCGGCGGCTTTGTTCCCCGGGAGGGATCGATTTCACCAGGTCAGGAGCGCCGCTAAAAAGCCAGCGCTGTCAGCCCGCCCGCACTACCTGGGTGGTGCTGGTTTATAAACAGTTGCTTGAAGAAGGTCAGGGGACACCGTTTCTTGTTTTTTTTCCCTTTTTTCTCCATGCACGTGGCTGGCTGCTAGAGGGAAGAGGAGCGTCCTTAGGCCACGCCGCCTCCCAGGTGCTGCCACGGGCTGTGGCAAGCACTGGCCATGTTTCTGGGTGAGTTTGGAGATGCTCCTTGGCCATGTCCCCAGCGAGGATTGGGATCCCTGCATCTATAGCAGAGCTTCCAGTAGCCCCACAGGGAGGTGAAGCAATTCCTCCTTCTCCGGCTGCCTTGTTATAGTGTCTCCCATGCTGGTGTGTCAGGACAGCAAGCGGTCGATACTGCGCATTGCAGCTCATGCAGCCATCAGCCTAAAAGCCTGGGTTTTCTTCCCAAACCAGCCCCTTTTAGCACTACACCACAATTCCCTCAGTGCTGTTGAGAGCTTGCGTCCCTCCTGGACTTCTCTTCTTCTGGTTTCATTGTTGAAGGCCCTTTTCTGGTGGGCACCGCAACGCTGTCATCCTGGAGCCGGGAAGGAGACCCACCCTTTGCCCCAGCACAAGTAGATCTACCCCATTGAGAGAAGGAGGATGGACACAGTTCAAATCCAGTCCCATGGTGGGCACTCAGTTTGGAAGGACAGAGTTACCCATATGGGGTGGGGCAGGTCCCATCAGTGTAGTCCCAACAGAGTTGAACCTGTTCCTCAGAACACCCTCCATGGCAGGCATTAGAGGGTTAGAGGGGTTCCCAGCATGGCCATGACCAAGCAGGACCCTGCTGGGGATCTTTGAAGCTGAGACACAGGAAACTTGACAAGAAGCTCTGCGATCTCCAGATCTGTTTCACAATGCCATGTCCAGTGGAAGACTGGCTGAGCAGGTCCAGGATGCTGGACAGCTAGAATAGTAGTCTACAGCAAAATAGGTGAAATTACACTTTCAAACAGAAAACCATGAGGGATTCAAAGAGTGAAGTGGTACACAAAGAGGTCAATTAGTGAATATTGTCTTAATAGCTGTAGTCTACCATCTGAATGCTTCTCCCTCCTCTTCTGCATTTGATTTCCCAGTGAGAGGAGTAAGTTATTCCTGATGCATTTCTAGACAGCTTTGCCAGTGCTGCTGTGGAGTATGTTCCTCCTGTACCTGCCTCCAGGGTGTGGATGCACCACCTGGAACTCCTTTATCTGAGGCTCTAGAGCAGATTTTAGTATCTGCTTTAATAAAGTCAGCCGGAAGGGAATCCTCAGAGATTGCTCCAAGTCAACCAGTCACTCCCCAGCAAATTTATTTCACATCTTCCCAGGCTTTAGAAAGGGGCTTAAGTGAGCTCAGTAATACACTGCTCCAAACCAAGCCTGTGACTTACTTTGTCCTCTTTCAAGATCTTCAGAGGAGTCTCTGACCACATGTCTGTCTTGCATTAGACATTTGTTCCCTTGTCCTTCTGCTCAGACACCATAATCTGTCTCTGAACTATCACACCTCAACCCTGTCTCTCCTAAAGCCATTCCATCTAACAGCCTTGTGTACAGCCTTTCCATGGATGAAGAGCTCAGCCATGCAGGGAAGGGAGACCATTTCCCTCCTGGACCCATGGGAAGGAAGCTAAAAGGACCTACAAGCAGTTATCTATCTCCTTCCACCAAGACAAGCTCAATTCTGCTTAAACTATTCCTGATGGGTTTCATCTAATTTGTGTTGAAACCTTCCCACCACAGAGACACCACACCTTCCCCAAGCGTTTGGTTGCAATACTTTGCTCCTTCCCACCAGAATACTCTTCCTGCTGTTCAGCTTGGATCTTACTTGATGCTTTTTGAATTGTGTCCCAAGAGAGCGTGAACAAAACATGACTCCTTTCTTCCGTGCTATAGCCTCTTGCACACGCAAATACCACTGTGCCTCCCTTGAACTTTCCTCTTCTAGACTCAGCACATCCATGTCCTCTAACATTTCCCCATAGGTCTTGCTTTGATAGAATCATAGAATGGTTTGGGTTGGAAAGGATCTCAAAGATCATCCAGTTCCAGCCCCCCTGCCATGGGCAGGAACACCTTCCACTAGATCACGTTGCTCAAAGCCTCATCCAACCTGGCCTTGAACACTTCCAGGGATGGGGCAGCCACAACTTCTCTGGGCAACCTGTGCCAGTGCCTCACCACCCTCAGTGTAAAAAATTTCTTCATTTCTTCCTTAGATCTAATTGAAATCTCCCCTCTTTCAGTTTAAAGCCATTGCCCCGTGTTCGATCACTACATGCCCTTGTCCAAAGCCCCTCTCCAGCTTTCTTGTAGACCCTTTAGGTACTGGAAGGCTAGAATAAGATCACCCTGGAATCAGACCACTAATCTGGAGTCCACCAAGGCAGATGTGGTTTTCCTTGGAGCTCCCACCTCTCCAGCCCCCATTGGAGAGGAACAGACTGTTGGTGGTTCTCCATTAGCTTTCTGCAGAGATATCCCAGTAGTAGGTTGGCTTTTTCTCTGTCCAAGCTGCCCCACGTCCCCATGACCCAAGCATGACTGGCCAGGGTTGGACCACTTAATTCCAGGCCATTTTAAAGCAAATTCCCACCTTGATATTTTCATACCAGTGGGTGAAACCACCCAGCCCCGATGCCTCGGAGCTTTTCTTTCTGTCTCTGGAAGAAAAACAGGAAAACAATAGGAAGAAAAGCTGCGTCAGAGGCAGGCAGATCGGAGTTAATCCTCCCTCAAAATGGATCCCGTCAGTGCTGGTGGACGTGAGAATCGCCTCTCCTGCACCTTTGCTGGGTGCTCTCCCCAGCACAATGCTTCACTTTGGGTTTCAGCACGGAAAGAAATGGTGAAGTTGCTAATAATGGCACTAAAAGAAAATATGCTACATCTGTTATGGATAGCAGTACAAAATTAGCTGATCACACCTCTGACACCCAAGATGTCTTCACTTAAAATACTCGTTGGCTTACTTTACATAATTTGCTGATTATATTTAAAAGAAATACAATTTTGCAATTACTGTTCTTTCTGGTGCGCTATCTATGCATCATTTTCTTTTTATGTTTATATATTTCTCCTTCATTAGTGCAGTCTGAAGGGTGATTAGATCCCTTCAAACATTTTACAGAGGTTAAACGTTGATTAAGATTTAATTATTACTGTAAATAGCTTGGAATGACATATGGTGCAAAAACCTGACATATGTGCATTTGAATAAATGAAGTGCTATTTCCCATGATGCTTCAGTAGCTGTTTAACAGCTTTGCTGAAGGGTTATGTTGCACCTCATGTTAAGATTGCTTTGATGTTATATTTTGTTGGGTTTTTGCAGCTGAAAGCTAAGAACAGTTTTTCCAGTTTTTAAAAACATTGAATATTTTAAATACCTAAATTGTTTTGCACAAATTTTTGCTAATTTGTCTAACTAGGTTAAACATTTTCAAAAGCATTTCGATTTTAACGTGGGTTCCTAGCATTGTGTCAGCAACAGCATCAATTCAATGTATAGGATTTCTAAAAGTCTCATCTTCCAAGGTGCCCTGTCCCGGTTGGGAGCGGGATCTTTGCTTGCTGCAGGAACCGGGAGCACCACAGATCCCTCCCAGGGATGCAAAGGTTTGGAGCGATTTCAGAGCAAGGGAAAGCTTCGTGTGAAGCCAGTGAGAGGGAAAAATTAGGAAAGGGCTGGAGATTTTATGGAGATAGAGAAAGGGGTAGGCAGATTTTATCTGCGATCCATCCTCGTCGGAGGATGTAGAGCCCTCGTCCAGGAGATGAATGAGGGTGTGCTGTCCCCTCCTGTCACCCCTTTGCTGGGTCCCTATGGGTGCAAACTGCAGCTTTGGGGACTGGATTCCTTCTAGCACCGTGCGAGGGGACCTGGGCTGTGGGAAAAGGAAGGGATGTCTCCTGGAAAACGATGAGTGGGATCCGTTTGATTCTCAGAGACACTCTGTAATTCATGGAATATTGCAAAGCAGAGACCATGTGTCGTTTCGTGTAATATAAGTCAGTCCAAACAGGGATGTTTTGAGACTTGAGCAGAGCAAAGCGCATTAAAATGACATGGAAAAGGCTCGACTGGCATTGTGTTATTTACATATTATGCTTCTCCGCATTAATTTATTGATCTATCGAGCTGCTGCTTGCAGCACAACAATGCGATACCCGTCCTGATCTTGCCTCCTCTTTGATTTCACAGATTGAGACATCTCGGCTGGAGCCAGAAATCGCAATGGCCACCACCAGTAAGACTGTAGTCTACAATAAAGGCTTGTAAGTGGAAGTGGACCATCTCAACCCAGAAGATTTGGGGAGGGAAAGGGGGAATCTTGAAATCCCGACTGGGAAAAAGAAAACAACAACAAGATAAAACAAATAATAGAGCTCAGCGATAGTAACGTATTACCGCTCCCGGCAAACTGGGAGTGAATTAACACTTGCAGAGAACTGACACCTCATACCAGTCAAAAAGATTAATATTGAAAGTTTTAAATTAGCAACAGGAGCAGCAACAAACAAAAATTACACTCAAACACTTTAGGGAACTAGCTAAAGAAGAATCTCAGAACTTAATAGCACTGCATGGAGGGATGCCTAACGGCGTGTTTACATGGTTATTCCTAACTACATCAACGTAGGCTTCACCGAGCAAATTTTGTTTTCAACGCCAAGTAAACCTCCACGCTGATACTGCATAAAAATCATTCCGTAGAGACCAACGGGTGCATGAATGTGAAGCACTTGGTAGGGTGTTTGATAAGTGTCCTGTATCGATTTCGTGCCCATCCTGCCCCAGTGATCATGCACAAAAGCAGCCTTCCATGGTTCGACGTGTGACGCTCCGTTAGCACAGCGAAGGTCATAGCCTGTGCGCCCTCCATCCCTCCGTCTTTCTTCTGCAGATGATCCTGGTGGCATCCTGCCATTCGTTGCACTTGCAAGACTGTGTGTTGCAGGAGCCTATCACTGGAATATCTGCAAGGGCTTTTGCCCAAGGTTCAAGGTACTGGAAAGCCAATGTGCCCACATGCTGAATAGGAAGGGATCTTACAGCAAAAATGCAATCGATCTGCTCTTTTCCTTTGCGCAATGAAAGACACAAAGGATGAGGTTCGTCCCACCTAACGTAGACCCTCTGAAAGTAAGGTAGTTAATCTGAACTAATTGGCTAAGTCATGCTTTGCTAAGCTAGTTGTCCGAGGACATTATGAGCTTTAACTTTGATCATTGTAGGTCCCTTCCAACTGGGACTCAACTCTTCTCTTCTCTTTTCTCTTCTCTTTCTTCTCTCTTCTCTTCTCTTCTCTTCTCTTCTCTTCTCTTCTCTTCTCTTCTCTTCTCTTCTCTTCTCTTCTCTTCTCTTCCCTTTTCTTCTTTTCTTTTTCTTCTTCTTTCTTCTTTTTCTTCTTTCTTCTTTTTCTTCTTTCTTCTTTCTTCTTCTTTCTTCTTCTTTCTTCTTCTTTCTTCTTCTTTCTTCTTCTTTCTTCTTCTTCTTCTTCTTCTTCTTCTTCTTCTTCTTCTTCTTCTTCTTCTGCTTCTTCTCTATTTTGCCAACACCACCTAAAGCCTTGTGGTGGTGCAGAGTAGAACCCGAAAGCAGAAACTGGTGGGCAGGACGGCTTCACCTGGCAGCCATGCCAAGCTGATGGCTTTGTGAGACTGCGGCCTCAGAGGGGTGAACTGCCCTCTGGTGACAGCTGTCTGTCTGTCTGTCTGTCTCTTCAACTACTCTACTTTGGAGTGCTTAAAATGAGGTGGGACAAGTCCCCCAGCACTGCACCACATCCTGCCCTCACTTGGTTTTGGGGTCATAATTCGGCTTTCCGGTATCTTGTACCTGAGAGTAAACCCCGAGTGAGTCCCTGAGGACCAGAGGAGTTAATCCAGATTTTGAACACGGTCATCTGCAGAAGATCATGCCGATAGTGAGATTTGCCTTTGGGATCATTGTAGGGTTGGAGCCATGGTGGTGATGGACACAGCCGAACGCACAGGCTGTCATCCTTCAAATGCCACTTTGTTGGGGGTTTTGGGGAGGGTGGGGGGAGCAGAGGAAACCAAATTGCCACTGACACAGAATGTATCCGAAGGATTTATTGCAATGCCTGAAATCAGGAGGCCTGAGCCCCACCGTGTGCTCCTCCACCGTTGGCTGCTCTTGCTTCCCTCTGGAGTCAGACCAGTAGGAACTGGAGTCACACAATGGTCGGGCCAGCTCAGGAGGACTGATTCTGTCCCTGCACTAGTGTAAATCAGAAATAATTGCACAAAACAAATCAATTTTGTGGATTTACATGCCAGTGTGCAGGGGAGGAGAGGCCAGCTCCGGGCTCTCTATAGCTGCTGTTGATGGGCCAGCTCCTGGTCTCTGACACTGGTGGAAACACGGAGGGGATCCAGTTGCACTCATGGAGCTGTTCTGGATTTACACCAGGGTAAGGGACAGCTGGATTTGACCCAGTAGAGATCCTGTCATGCACTAGATGAGATGAATGTACGTTCCGGAGGAAACGAGGCCACTTCATCCATTCCGGGTGGGATCTGGAGGGGCCACAGGCAGGTGGCATCTGTCCTATGGACATTTTCATGGACGTCTGTCCTAGAGGCAGCACAGCGCAGAATCAGGCCCCGTATTTTGCCCTGGGGGCGAGTAACTCCCTGCAGCAGTGGAAGAGGGGGCAGTTCTCCCGCTCTGGGAGGGAAGCGGGGATGCTGGCAATCCCTGAACTGCAGCCTGCCGATGGGAACCGCAGCGGCAAGGCTTCGGAGAGCCAACTGGAACAAGCTGTGAGCCTGAAGAAGGGCCCTTTCCACTGCTGCAGGGTGTAGGAGGAGGTGAGGACCGCTGTCGGGTGCTGGGGGTACAGGTACCCCCTTGCACACATCCACGTGTGCGTGCAGCGGGGAAGGAGCTAGTCTGAGCCTAAAAACTTCCGTTTACGGCTCTGCCGAGCCTGCAGAAGTTGGGAGCCAAGCCTCATCGTGTTGCACGGAGACACAACTTGCCTTCTTCCTCTTCCCGAATGGAAATGCGAGGCTGAGACAGGAACAGCCTCTTGTGTTGACAGGGAGAAGCCTCCTGGCTCCGGCGTCTGGCTGGGTGGATCATTTCCCCCTTTCCCGGTGGGTTTTGTCGCTGCCTGAACCATTCTGCTGCAAAACTGGTTCATCCCAGACTTTTTTTTTTTTTGTGGATTTGGAGAGGTGAAGCAAGGAGGGAGATGGTGATTTGGTTTTGCATCGTGATCGCTGGTCAAAGATTTCAGTGGCCGTGAGCTCTGGCTGCCTGCCGGGCCCTCGGATGGAGCAAGGAATTTGGAGTGGAGGAAAGGAGTCAGGGCTTTGCTTGCTCTATTCCTTTATGAAAAACACAAATCGAGCAAGTTTTGTCTCGGGAAAGAACCGATTCCCAGTTTTCTCCCACAATGGGAAGCGCGGGCCCGATCCTGCTCGAGCAGGCGAGGACCAGCTTGAGGGATGTCAGAGGAGCCGCGCTGCGAGATTATGGCTCGGCTCAAAAGCAGCTGCGCCGTCGAACAAGTGACAATCAAACGGTCTAAATGAGTCTGGATTTATCCTCTTCCCGTACAAACCCCGTCAAACTTGTTTCGCTTTATGTGTCATGAAAATGGGTCTCAGTCAACTCGGCAGAGTTTGTGCCGAGAAATAAATACATGCCGGGTCCTGAGTCAGGCGTTCGCCGGCGTGTATCTCTAAGAGCCAGTCGCAGCCTCTGGCAGGCTGGTGACAATGTTTGATCTCCGATCTTGTTCAAATGCAACTCAAAATGTTGTGCCCCCCCCAACCCCGAAGCACTGGGAAGACGCTCCTGCTTGAAGCTGGGAAGGCAGAGTTGCCACCTCACAGGGTTCGATTTCCTTTTCTAACCTCTTCTGAAAGCATCTGCAGGTCTTGCGTTGCGAGGTGGCACTTGCAGCAGTGGTGCCCAAGAGGTTGGAGACCCCAGGACTTGTCCCTGCATCTCCCAAAACCACGCATGTCCCCTTCCTCTGGACAGTCAGGTTGGTGCAGACCCACCTCTGCTGCCCTTCGTCTCACTGCCTTCTGGCTCGATGCTGAGCAGGACGAGGTGCATGTACGAGGAGTATGTTTTGGTGGCCCCATGGTCCCAGACTCTTGGTGAAGACAAGACCATGGTGTCCCCGCGCTAGGACACTGAAGCCAGCTGATGGTTCAGGGAGGCTGAGATGTTTTTTGTTTAAAAGCAGCAGAATGGCTCAGCAGCCACAAACCTGACTCTTAGGGATCTTAGATCGTTTTGCTCGCGGGCAGCTCAAGGTCAGGCTCCCTCGTGCAGCGGGTCCACCAGGGTTGCTGCCATCTGTGGTGGGACCGCCGGTGAGCCCCGAAATACTGTGCTCAACTCTTCCTACAGTTGGGAAGCGTGGAGCTGAGAAAGCGGCAGCACATTAGTGCTGTCTATGAGGAGAGCAAATCGTGCCAGAAAAGACTACACACATCGGCTAATGATAACGTTATGCACATTCACTTAATAGCTAATTAATCTCTTCCACTTCCCTAATGTACCAAAAGGAGCCTTCGGTTTGCAAGAACAACCCCAACCATTTGCATTTCTTATTTCCCATAATTGGGGAAGTGGAAGAAATGGGGAGCGCAGAACCCACCACGCACATCAAGTTGTTCACCTCAGCAGATAGTAATGATGAGACGATCATCTCCTGTAGTATTTAATTAGAAATGTCGCAGTTAATTGATTTCTTGGATATGTTAATTAAGAAATAATGAGGACCCGGTTGCAGCAAAAGGTGCCAGCGAGAAGTTTTGAGTCCCTCCTGGAAGATCTGTCTGTTGGCTGCTCCCCGAGCCGGCCAGGGGACAACCAGGGGACAACCCTGGGGTGGCGTCACCCATGTCCTGAACACACCCTTAAGCTCAGGCACAGCTCAGCTCCTTCCATTTTACCTTGTTGCTCATTTTTCTGCTCTACATCTCTGCGTGTGGCCAGGCGTGGGCAGATGCCCACATCCCAGCAAGACAGGCAACAGGTCACCCTGTTCGCTGCCTGTGCCAGCGCCACGCATCGCTGGGATGCGGGAGGACCCGGCTGACGCTGGGCCCTTCCACCCTGGGACAAGCAATGCTGGTAGATCTCAGGGTTATACCAATGCCACGTAGCCAAGAGATGTAGGTGTCCCCGCACCCCACTTCAGTCGGCTCCTCTCGAAGGGCTGTGATGGAGATCCGGAGCCCGGAATGGCCTTCAGCCACACGGGGGGAGCGCGAGGTCTGCCAGCGTGTTGCGGTGAGACCTCGACAGCCTTCGAGCAAAGC